TCAGAACAGAGCAGGGTAACACTGCATGGTTCAAAATTGGGAAGGGTGTATGCCAGAGAAGTGTCCTGTCTCCATACCTTTTCAACCTGTATGCAGAGCAGATTATCCGGGAGGCTGGGCTCTATGAGGAAAATTGTGGCATCTGGATTGGTGGAAGATCTATTAACAATCTGCTTTATGCAGATGACACAACCCTGCTTGCTGCAACTGAGGAGGACCTCATGCACTTGCTGCAGAGGGTCAAGGACTGCAGCCTTCAGTGTGGACTGAGGCTCAGTGTCAAGAAGACAAAGATTCTCACCACTGGACCAATTGGTAGCATCAGGATGGCTAGAGATTGAGATTGTTCACAGCTTCAGTTTGGTAGGCTTCACAGTCAACACTCTTGGCACCAGCAGTCATGAAATAAAAAAACATATTGTGATGGGAAAGTCTGCTGTTAGGGACCTTTCTAAAGTACTCAAGAGCAACGGTGTCTCTCTGGAGACTAAGGTGCGCCTCATACAGACCATGGTCTTTGCAATCTCTTGTTATGCAGCAGAGAGTTGGACAATGACTAGGGAAGACAGAAGGAGAGTTGATGCCTTTGAACTGTGGTGCTGGAGAAGAGTGAATGTACCATGCACTGCCAAGAAAACAAACAGATTCATCCTGGAGAGAATTAAACTAAGCAACTCCTTGGAGGCAAGGATTCTGGGGCTTAGTCTGACAAACTTTGGGCATGTTGCAAGGAGGGACAGGTCCTTGGAGAGGGACATCATGCTTGGGAGGGTGGAGGGACGGCGCAAGAGGGGAAAACCCTCTACGAGATGGATTGATTCAGTGACTGGGGTAATCAGGATGGGTGTGTCAGAGGCAATGCGATTGGGATAGGGCAGGGTTTAGGGCTGTTGTACATAGGGTGGCTATGAGTCGCAAACAACTCGACGGCACATAACAACAACAACTTCAAATATCTGTTCTACTCCTTGTATTTTTTTTTAAAATCTTTTAGTAGTATGACTAGTAATATTTTTTTTTTTTTTTTTGTCAATGAGAGTATAAAACCGTATTTTATTTAAAACCTCAGGCTACTGAGCAGCTTCATAGGAAATGGACAGCCTCCTCGGAGTCTCCCAGAACACACTGTAGGGTCAGCTGTGAGTCAGTTCCAACTCGATGACAGTGAGTTATGTTTGACAGAGACTCCCAACTAAGCGAAGATTTCAAGTATTTGATGATTAATTTCCTTCCTTATTTGTGTAGGGATGGGGGATGGATTTTCAGAACTCTTAGAGAAGGGAGGGCAGTGTGTAGTAAATAGGTTTTCAAACCTGCTTATGACTGACTTAGTTTTAAGTTTGTTTTCATTAAGTGCCATCGAGTTGACTATGATTCCTAACGACCCAGTGAACAGTGAATCTGAATCTTACCCTATCCAGTGCTGTCCTGACCATCTCTTTTATACTAAAGACTACCATTAGCGTCTCTGTGTCAGTCTATCTCACTGAATTTTCATTAAAGGTAATTAATTTGTTACTTTAACAAGAGTTTACAGAAAGTTTGAGTTTTCATTCATTCATTGATGTACATTGTCCTCCCTCCTGGGGGAAATTTTAGTAATTCATACTTAATTAGTAACTAAAATTGTCTATGGGCCAAATGTAAGTAAGTGATATTTTTTTTTTATTTTTTTTAAGTGTGGCCGACCTTAAGCATGCCATTCAAAGTAAATACAAGATTGCTATTCAACACCAGGTGCTAGTCGTCAATGGAGGAGAATGTATGGCTACAGATCGAAGAGTGTGCACCTACAGCGCTGGGACGGAGATGTATGAGATCGCCAGGAAACTTTGCTCCTTTTGTGAAGGTCT